GTAGAAAGACATCACTTGGGGGCTGGTGCTGTGGCACAGTGGGTTAAAGCCCTGGCCGGCAGCGCCGGCATCCCATATGGGCACCAGTTCAAGTCCTGGCTGCTACACTTCCAATCCAGCTCTCTGCTATGGCCTGGGAAAGCAGTAGAAGATGGCCCAAGTCCTTGGGACCCTGACCCACGTGGCAGACCCGGAAGAAGCTCCTGGCTTCGGATTGGCGCAGCTCTGGCCCTTGTGGCCAATTGGTGAGTGAACCAGCACATGGAAAACATCTCTCTCTCTCTCTCTCTCTCTCTCTCTCGCTCTTCCTCTCTCCGTAACTCTGTCTTTAAAATCAATAAAATCTTTTTAAAAAGACGTTACTTGATGAGACCTTATGGCAACTGGGCTATACTAGTCTTGTACATGAGATGTAGTAGCTATATATGGCACTTAATAACTTTTTTTTACCAATTTCATTGAGGTTGTGAAGATCCACACTACAAAGTGCTTTGAAAATATTATCCATAAAATTTAAGGCAGTACAATCATTTCCTCTGCCACAGATATGTGTCAAACTCTGGCCTCACAGATGCACACAAAACAGCTTATAATCACAGTTAAAAGTCAAACATGGAACTATACCACTATTTCTAGTAAATAGTAACTGACTCATGTTTTGCAGACTTTTCTATTTAGTACAATTTGTTGAAAACAAATTAGTAGAACACTGATGGTGATGGGCCATTTGGTATGGTATGAAAATGTTTGTCAGGTTGGGCATTTATTTGGTTTAGTAGTTAGACACTGGTTATCATGCTTGTCTCCCACAGTGGGGCACCAGGGTTTAAAAGCCAGCTCTGCTCCTGACTCAGCTTCCTCCTAACAGACACTGGAAAGCAGTGGTGATGGTCCAAGTAATTGGGTTCCTGTCACCCAAATGGCTGAATCGGATTCCGTTCCTCAGCTCCTACTCCAGTAAGGTGCCACTTTAGGCATTTAGGAAGTGGGCCAGTGGATGGGAGCTTTGTCTCTCAACTGAATAAAATACTTGTTAAGCCAAAGACCAGCTGTAACCAAAATTAACTTTGTGACTAGACTAATAAAATCTAAGACAATGTTAGCATTTATAATGTGAAATCCTTTAGACAGAAAATAAAGATTCCAGACAGTATGCAAGTAATTTACCTCAAGTGTTCATCAAAACAGTTAACCTCGTATTACATGACTAAATATTTTCAAGATTTGGGCCTTTTCAGATTTTGATTCAGTAACATACTGAACATTACTCCAGCTGCTATGAGATAAAACTATGATCAACTAAGTTTTTAATCCAAAGCTTTCTATTGGAAATACCTTTGTGGGAAATCAGAATGTAACAAAACCAATGTACCTGTATACTCAGTTGTACATTATTTGTAACACCATCACTATTTGGAAGAATATATCCATCAGCAAATATAATAATAGCATCCATGAATTTAAGAGCTCAGATTTTAAATTTAATTTCCTGGTTTTAGCATTGTGATCAACTTACTATACTTTATTGTGATTAAGCAACTGAGATTGATACTACAAAAATACAAGAAAGATACAAATATGGACCTCAAAGATGAACTTTGATTTTGGCATATATCATAATACTCCTAAGATAAGTACAGTGTCAACTATCAACTGTGAATCCTTTTGTATGCTCTAATGGTAGATAGCATCATTTTTATCATTAAATCTGTTTTAAAGATGAGTCTTCTGTTTAAGTATAGAAATGTGAACCTCTCTCAGGTACAGTTCATGCTTCTGCTGGTCCTGATCCAGTATAAGCTCAGCGGGGGTTTTATATTAGTGTATGTTTTTCTCCCCAGTTATCTGCTTCCAGGAGATTAAATATGACAGGTTGAAAAGCCCAACTGTGGGGCCAGCATTGTGGAACAGCACGTTAAAGTCACTGCCTGGGATGCCAGCATCCTCTATGGGCCTTGGTTCGTGTCCCGGCTGTTCCACTTCCCATCCAGCTTCCTGCTAATGGCCTGGGAAAAGCAGAAGATGGCCCAAGTACTTTGGTCCCTGCCACCCATATGGGTCTAGACCCAGAAGAAGCTCCTGGTTTCAGCCTGACCCAGCCCTGGGTGTTGCAACTATCTGGGGAGTGAATGAACCAGGGGTTAGAAGATTTCTCTTCTGTCTCCCCTTCTTTCTTTGACATTTAAATAAATAAATCTTTAAAAAAAAAAAAAGCCAATCTGTTTCAGAAAGGGCTACTTCCTCTTAATTCTATGCAACTGTAGCCATCAAAAAGAAAAAGTGCTTTAGGAAATTCTTAACTTTGCAAGAAGTTTTAGAAGACTGACCAAAATGTGTGCAAAGTATTAATACTTATTTTACCAGCTTTATATATTGATTCATTGTTCTTTATAATGAATCCTTAACATCAGAATGTTTTTAATTAGTGAGAAATAAATAGATGCAACAAATATTTTATAAAAGCCAAAAGTAAAACTGAATTGGTATTTGCGACAATAGTGAAGGGAGAATGATTTGGTAATCAAGAAGCCCAAATATAAAAACAAATACAAGGGCTTTTGGCTAAAAAAATAATTTTGTTAGTCAGACTTTCCCTTCTTTTCTGCTATAATGTGAAAAACTCACTTAGAAAAACAGTAATCGTTGAGAAGTATACTTCCAGTTATCCAGAACTGATAAAATTTGAAGTCAAGTACTCTTAAATAGATTCTTGTGGATGTTCTCTAATGAACAGGGAAGTGATTTCTGGTTAATACACCTGTTTTGTAAACAAATTTCCCAAACAGTTCAAAAATTTTCATTTAATGACAATTATGTTCTAAAATTGGAAGATTATAAAGAACAACCCACATCATTGTTAGCAGACAATAAAAGATAAAAGTTTCAGCCCATCTTCTTTCCAAATTGTATTTTCTAGAACAGTTTCATTACTTTTTTAAAAAGCACATCACACACTCAACAGAGTCATTCAATAGTAGGAATTATAGGTTAAAAAATTTCCTTACTAATCTGGAATATTAGCAATCAAAGTCTGGAAACCTAATCTAGACACTGTATGCTTTATGCTGTAGAAGCCTATTTTTTAGAATTTTGAGTTTAAATATAGCTTTTCCCCCCTACTGTGATAGTATTTAAGCACTCTGCATTCACCTTCAGTTATGAGGTACTGACTTGGAGAGGATTCAGAAGAACCTCCTGGAACACTAGAAATGCTTTGTATCGTAATCTGGGTGGTGGTAACATGGGTGTGTATGTATGTAAAATTTCATCTACCTAGTCCTTTGATGGTATGTTACACCATAAGTAAAGAGTGTTTACCTACTTTATGGGCTGTCCATCAAATATTTAACACTTAATGATTAAGATAATTTGTTTTAAAGTCATTAACGAATAGGGGAAAACCAAGCCACGTGACGTTCATGGAATAAGCGATGCTAGTAGTCACTTTTAAGTAAATTAACTATATCTAAAGCTACAGCAAAGCTTCAAGATGAAAAGTCACTAACACGAGGAATGGTGGTAGGAATAACACTTTTTTTTTTTATAGTTTCAGTACAAAGAAGTATTATAAGCCCTTACACAACTAAAAGACAACTACCTCAGTAAATGACGTAACTATGGCATGATTATTTGATTTCAGAGTACCCATGCTTTTTATTTACTCTCAAGGTTTTTTGTCACTATATTGCTTGAGTTTCTAAAGGATGGAGAAGGAAAAGGATTAAACTTATATTAGTTTTCTTGAGGATGTAGCTGTTTGAATAGAAAATCCCTCATTCTATTTCCTGTTTATGAAGGGAGCAAATAAGTGGTTTGCATAAGAAACAGAAACACTACACCTCAAGTATTTTTCTACTTTTGCTTGGAACTGTGTTAATTCTCATCACCTCCAAAAGCCTTTGAGAGGATTAGCTGCATGGACCAATATTGTTCTATATTAGTCAGTATTAAGCATATGATGTCACCTTGTTTCCTCCGCTTCTCAAGCTTTTCTTTTCAGGGAAAGAGGGACTTTTTGGAGGGCATTTCTCCAAATACCACTAGCCTGATACACATGATTGACAACCTTGCAATCCCAAACCTGTTTGAAATGGGTCAAATACCTAAGCGCTGCAGAACAATGCAATCCAACCAGCGATTCCCCATCGAAGAGAAAGGGGGTGTGATTAGATTCCAGCTATTAAGCAAGTTACGGCACAGTTTGGACGTTTGTTTCTGCAATAGGCACAGGATAAGCAAGTACTTTCTCTCTTAATTAGCTCCAAGAAAGAAAGAAAGAAAGAGAAGCCTAGGCTCCGGGAGCTGGGACCCGTCACCACAGCACGAAGCAACCGGGGCCAACATGAGGGGCTTTCCCGAGGTCCCTGCACCGAGCCCCGGCTGTGGATCCTGATGATGAACCCCGCCCGGCAACTATCGAACGGCCTCGGTGCGAGGCTTCGGGAGCCACAGGAAAGGAGCCGCAGGAGGGAATAGAAGCTTCTAATAAAAGAAACGCAGCAACAATAGCAGAGGCACAGCTCTGCCTGGTGACGTAATGGCTGGCGGCCGGCCAGCTCCGGCAGAGCCGCGGCTGCCTCAGCATCCAGCCTCCCTCAGCCCGCTCCGGCGTCCGCCGAGCTCCCGGGGCTGCCACTTCTTGCGATGCCACTTTCCCGGGGCCATCAACGCCTCCCCTTCGGGGGGCCGGGCCCCCAAACGAAGGGCTGAGGCTTGCTTTTTGTGAGTTGACACAGACACACACGCACACACACACACACACACGCACACGCCCGCCGTCCCCCAGCCCCCTGCGAAACCGAGTCTACCACGGTCAAGTTCGGGGGGCTAAAAAAAAAAAAACAACAACACCGGCGCTCCCTCTCGGCGGGCCTCAGTTTCCCCAGGCCGGCTGCGAGTCCGCTTCGCCCCGCCTCGCCCCCCCACCCCCTCACCCCGCAGCCGACGGGGGTCCTCGGCGGGACTCGGGGGGCCCCCGGCGCGCCGTCCTCCCGCCTTACCTCCGCCAGGTAGAGGTTGAGCAGACAGAGCGTGGAGAACTGGAGACAGGAGGGGAAGCAGTAGAGCAGCCAGTGGGGGAAGAAGTGCAGGTGAGCGGGCGGCCGGAGCAGGGGCAGGGAGCCGCTGAGCGAGAAGGCGGCGGAGAACAGGGTGGTCCTGAGCGCTGCCCAGAGCAGGCAGAGGAAGAGGCAGAGGCTCTGGTAACTCAGCCGCCGCTCGCGGTACAGGAGCAGGCGCCACAGCTGCAGGTAGGCAAAGGCGAAGAGCGCGGCGTAGAGCAGGGCGTGCAGGACGCTCAGCGCCAACTGCACCGAGCCCGGCACCGCGGCGCCCGAGGCGGCCTCGACGGCGCCGCCGCCGCCGCCGCCGCCCGCGCCGGGCGTCGAGGGCTCGCGGGCGCTCGCGGGGGCGGCGGGGGCCGCCGGGCCCGGCACGGACACCCTCATGAGGGGGCCGCGAGGCGGGCGAGGGAGCGCGGGAAGGAAGGGGCCGGACTCGAAGTTACCCAATTAAAACGTTATTCCTTGTTCCAAAAAGATTAAGGAATAGAAAGGACTTCTTTGAGATTAATTTAGATAAGCCAGTGATGCCAGTAAGGGACATGTCAGCATGAATTCCTAATGTATATTTATCGGCAGTGTGATAGGGACTGTTTTTGAAGGGCG